TTCAGCAGTTAAACTGAATATACAGCTAACAAGGTGTCACTGCACAAATACGAGACTGGCAGGGCCAGTTGTAGTACCTGTGCATGTGTGAGTGCACAGACATTGTTAGTCAAAATGCAAGTGTATGTTCTTCTTGAATCATATACTGGCTTTATCTCAGCTTCACATACGAGATTTCCGTAGCCCTCAAAGAGTATATAGATAGCTCTGTCAGACTGCCTATTGGCAGCTGAAATTTTCCACTGATTTTTAGCATGTGATTCTCGAAGTGACAGTATGCTCTACTGTCCTCTCCATTTCAACAGATCAGTGCTTGTTAACTTCATCTGGACAGCCCAGTTAAAGAACCCATACCATTTTCATTACCTGTTTCTTGCGCTTCATGAGATACTACAGAGGAAGGGGTGGCTCCTGCCCCCAGTGGCACCCCACCCCATGTGCAACAACCTTCTTCACATCAACAGGTTCCATGTGCTATTTCTCTCTACACTATTGAAACTGTCAGCAATGCTTTAACATTCCCTTCCAATCTCTGTTGTATTCCCTTGTAATTAAAAGGAAAAATTATTTGTTCCATTAAATCAAATTTTAATGGATTATTTCAGTTCGGCAGTACACAGGTACAAGCAGAGAAGATGAACCGGTGTCACATGTCTCAAGCATTCTAGCCCTGCTAGAACAGAACTCTCTTGATTCCTTCCCACTGGAACTGATCCATATTATACCAAACAACCATTTAATAAGTGAGACACACTCTAATCTAGCTTGATGATCAGAACTCTTACGGGGAGAGATGACACCTGGATACCTGTCCTGTTCCAACTAACATTTATGCAAAGCAAGCAGCACTAACTGCACTGTATCGCAGATAACCCAGGAGTGGTAACAGCTGAGGCTTGAAACTATTTTCCCTCCTGGTTATTTGGAGGCTGGATCCCTATTACCAACTGTCAGTTCTTCGACAGAACAACAAGAAAGAAGGATATCCTGGATAGCAACAGATGCTATGGGGCATCCTTCAGGGAATACTGCAAGGAGGCTTAAGGCAGCAGGTATGAGACATACAGAGGGAGCTGTCACAAAGGGTGGGGTAAAGCACAGGTGCCATGAGGGCAGGGAGGCAGATGGGTCTCCAAGTTCATTTCTCAGACACACACAGCAGCTCTGCTCATCTCCCGCACACAGGTTGGTTCCCTGTGAATGGGTGACAGCCCCAGCACAGCAGGAGGCAGCTGCTTGGAAAGCCACCGAGTTTCCCAGCATCTTGTTCCCATAAAGCTGCTCATCAGCTGAAGCTCTGCAACAGCCCTAGGCTGGTTCCACCCAGCACATGGTAGTGTTTCCAGTGGCCAGTTAGAACTGCCTTATTCTCTCCTTGGGCCACCAGCTGGCCACCCAGGACACCAACTGGCCACCCACTACAGCATGCATAATAGCTGGTAACTCAGAGGTATCTTCTCAGGCAGAAAAGTGTTTCTCACTGTCTGACAGTGCTCCTCAGGGACCACAGAATCTCCCAAGCAAATCAAGGCCTTTATTTTGCTTTCACCAAAAAAAAAAAAAAAAAAAAAAAAAAAAAAAAAAAAAGAGGGGAAAAAAAACCAAAACACAACAAACAACCCAAAACCAAAAACTTCTGAGTGTTTATTTTGGCTAAAACCAAAAAATGTGTTTTAATTTGTTAATTAGATCAGTTTTGGGGTTTTTTTACTTGGCAGAAAAAGAAAAAAAACCCAACACAAAACATTTCTCTCTGCTGCTTTTCTGAGATGTGACTGTGTTGATGCTGATCTTTAGTCAGATTTATTTATTGCACAGTCACTTAGCTGCCTGTCTAATGCAGAATCAGTCCCAATCTGCTCAGCAATAGGTGGCCTCCCTTGTCTCCAACTTCAG